CTGGAATAATCACAAGCGAGGTGAGCAAAGGTCGTGTTCCTGCAGCTCAGACTCACAGCGAGTTTAAAGCTGCACAGATTGGGGATACTAACACTTCACGCTGTCGCTGGGAATGAGTGACACTTCAGTCCCGTCTCCTTTTCCTTTTGAGGGCGGAATTTGAGAGGAAATTTTTCACGTCCATCTGTTGTTCTTTTAAAGGGGAAAAAAACACGCCTTGTTTTTTTTTTTAGGCAATTGCTTTCTCTATTTTTTTATGGTTTGAGTGACACTGTGTTTGTGGGGTGTGTGGGGGTAACTTTATTCAGGCATACAAAGAATAACATTTTTTTTATTTCCCTGGTCTCGGTTGCTCTCACTTCGTCGCTAATCTCTCAGGCATACGGTGCTTCTGGTAATAAATCCTCTCTCTTTCTCTCAACCCTTCCAACCCCACAGGCCACACCCTCTCCTTCCCTCCCCCCCCCCCTCTCTCTCTCTCTCTTCTCTCTCTCTCTCTCTCTCTCTCTCTCTCTCTCTCTCTCTCTCTCTCTCTCTCTCTCTCTCTCTCTCTCCCTCTCTCCCTCTCTCTCTCTCTCTCTCTCTCTCTCTCTCTCACGCTCTCGCTCTCGCTTTCGCTCTCGCTCTCACTCTCATTCTCTCTCTCTCTCTCTCTCTTTCTCTCTCTCTCTCTCACACACACAAACACACACACACACAGACTAACTCACTCACTCACTCACTCTCTCTCACCCTCCCTTTCCCTCTCCCTCCTCTCTCTCTCTCTCTCTCTCTCTCTCTCTCTCTCTCTCTCTCTCTCTCTCTCTCTCTCTCTCTCTCTCTCTCTCTCTCTCTCTCTCTTTCTCTTTCTCTCTCTCTCTTCGTGTCCCTTTGTCACGTGCTCATTCACCTATTTATGTGCTAAAATCTATCCGTAAACGCCTCTCCCATCATTTATCCTCTTGTAAACAATTTATCCACCCACCACCGGGCACATCACCTAACAAATCAACGCCCATTTTCATCTTCTCACTTAACCCTTGCCCCCTACCACATCCCTAATATCCCCTGATTATCGCCCCCTCCCTCATTCTCTCTCCGTTAAGTATGTCGCCAACACCGCCGACAGACCGGAAAGGGGAAGGAGCTGGGTCACTGACACAGGCGTCGGGGTGGGTTCCAGGCCAAATGGCGAACGGAAAACAATTTGCTACGCCCACTTCGTCTCCCCTCGCGGCGAGCTGACGGCATGGGCTTAGCAGGGCGACAGGGTAAAGGGATGTGTTCGCTCGTTCTGTTCTTATGAAGGCCAGCAGTAGCAGCAACAAGTACAGCGGCGGCTCCACCACCACCACACCTTCACAGCCTCGACGGCGGTTACTATGGCAACGTGAGAGAAGCGTTGGCTAGAAACTGGCAAGTGGCAATCACGTGCACGCGTCCACAGCATGGGATACCCATACCAGGGGAATACCTCTACCGCCCAATGTCTTTAACAGGAGGCACCTACTGTGGAGGTACTTGCACCTGGGGTAGCTTTGACAGAGCGACACATGCATTCATAGAGTGGAAATTAACAGAAGGAGAGGAATAAACAGATGGACTGCAATTTATCTACGCATATATTCACATATTTGCATATACAAATATATGCATACGTGTATGTGCACATACATACAAACACACATAGTTTGATTCTGTGTATGTTTACATTTACTTCGCATCAATGTCGTGTGGTGTGAAATGGTGGTTTTTATTTGATAATTTAGTTGAACTTTTAAGGTCTTGTGAACATCATTCGCTCGGCTCTCGTGAGGGGTAGCCCGGTGTGATGTTCGCATAATAGAACGCAATTCCACACTGATGTCACGACTCTGATACGAAAAATGTAACAAAAATGCGTTCATTTTGACAACTGAACTATTTTCATTGCCCTGTATATGTGAGTATATATATATGTATGTGTGCGTATGTGAGGAGAGCGCTATATACACATTATGATTTTTTCAATAACTAAACGTATCATTAATGCATCCTAACGAGCCTAGGCAATGATTCTCTCTCTCTCTCTCTCTCTCTCTCTCTCTCTCTCTCTCTCTCTCTCTCTCTCTCTCTCTCTCTCTTTCCCCCCTCCATCTCTCCCTCCCTTCTCCAACCCCCCTTCCTCCCTCCCTTCTCCTCCCCTCCTCCCTTCCTTCCCTCCCTCCTCCCCTCCCTCCTTCTTCCCCTCCCCCCCACACCAAACAAAAAAGCTCCCACGACCACCATTCTCGGCCGACGACCCTCACCCCCCTCCACCCCCCACCCCGACCATCTTCCGATCGCCGAGGCCCGAGTCGGACGTCGCGGCGCTGATCTCTCTCCTCCAGAGCGGCTCGACTCACACTGACCCCGTGACATTACCTGGCGTCTGGTGATATCATATTCTCTGTCATGTTGTTTATAAACGGAGAGATTGGGATGGACGGGCGTACGTGAACGGAGGGAATGAGAAAGGGGGGAAGAGAGAGAATAACACAAGAACGAAATAAAGGGTAAGGTACTAGAATAGCGAAGAACGAGAGGGAGGGGGGGGGGAGTAGGCGAAGTAGTGAGTGAAGGAGGAAGGGTCCAGCACTGGCTAGATTTTACCTCAGCGCAAGAGGGAAGCCGCCATGAATAGGAAATGTATTTTTGAAAATGTTCACATCAAAGCGAAATGTTTTCATCCCGCAGAAGTAAATCTAAGTAGCAATTCATCTTTAAGACGCCACGCGGATCAGTCCTTCATGAAAACACATACCCGCCCGTGGTATCGACGTAACCCGGAGCGCCTTTCAAATCCACGTAAGCAATATCTGGAAGTACAAGCCAGCTCATATAAACAGCGCCGGGTGCATATGGAAATGATGTTCCTTTTAGAGGCTGAGGAAAGTCAATAAAGCGACGGGCGAAACAAGCGTACCGGGACTCGCCTCAGCCGCTGGGACGCTGCCATCGACTCTTTTCCTGATTGCTAATTGTCGTTGACCTGATTCTCGAACTTAAATCAGCCACTAGGACACTGATCCCTGACACTGCCTCATACTGACATTTAAATGTCGTTGACATGATCATCGAACTCAGCCGCTGGGACACTGATTCCTGATTCTGACTCATATACCGACTGTTAATTGTCGCTCTTGCTGTTCCAATAAGCCCCTCACTACACAGCCTTCGAAACATCCCCAGTCGACATAGCGAGAGGGAGAGAGAGAGGGAGAGAAAAGATTAAGTGTGGGCAGTTGCAGGCTCGATCACTCTTTATATTTACTGGTTGGGAAGGTTATTAGTACTTCAGAGAGTTAAACTTGGGATATGAAAGACTAGAATTAGAGATCTGTTTTAGCGTCACTGGTATTCTACTTTTGCTCTTTGAATTATATGTTGTTGTTGTTTTGTTGTTTATTTATTTATCTATCATTTATATCCACTTTTCCTTTTTCTTCTTCAGCCTCTCCCTCTTTCTACCTCTTCATCTATTCAGCTCTTTTTCTCCCCTTTCTTCTCCCTTCTTTTCTATTTCCTCTTCCTTTCACTTCCCCTTTTCTCACACTTCCTTTCTCTTCTCTCTTCATTCGTTATCATCTGCATCTTCCCCCTTCCATCCTCCCTAACAAAGAGACGGAGCTCCACGCATCCACAACTTTGGTCTAGATATCGATGATGGCTGTATCCCCGTCCTCACCTCGACCAAACACAGGGCCAAAATCAACATAAATGCACGGGCATATACTTGCATGAGCACACGTACACATACATACATATACACACCTTCAGAACAGTAAATAGACGCACACGTATACACACGCATGCGCGTGAATAAACAATTCAAAGAAAAACATACACGTTACGTCCACGTTAAGTTCAGGAACACGGGCCTGGAAACAAGCACACACACACGCATTGAACGCAAGTAAACAAAAACACATACACATTCATAGGCGCTCAATAACACATTCGATCACGCATAAAAATTTAAACCAACTTGCTTCACACGTAGCATCCAATGACGCAATTCCAGATAATAAATAGGACACAGATTTATATGACGCACACACTCATTCATGGATTTTGAAAAATAAGCCACGCAGATACCAGGATGATGTGGCGCACAAAGGTACCTAATATACCAATGCATACCTATGTACTATGGGATTGTGTTGTGTCCGTTGTTGTAGATATTGTGGATATGGAAAGGTTGTAACAAAAGTCGATTTTGCTGTGAAGGTGTTGACTTTGTAAAACAGGCACAAAGGCATTCGTAAAATGGATACTGAAGTTAGGAATCCGAGGCTAAGATGTGAATGTTATAATGTATGTGTGATGGCGATAGAAAAGCTTCATTCTAAATGTTCTGGTTTCTACGTATAAAGGTGTAAAGGATGGAATGGGGACGTAGAGGTTGTGGTGGAGCTACGGAGACCAAGTTAGAGGTGAAAAAAATGTTAAAGTGTAAAGGTTGTGGATGCGTGGAGACACTCGCGCAGGTGTCGACACATGTATTGAGCCTGTAACGCTGGTGTATAGGTGTAGGTGTAGAGCTAATAGAGTTACGCTAATGTGAAGAACTGTTCCTGAATGGCGACTTGGAAGTTATAATAAACTGAATGGAAAAATATCTGAACAAATGTGTGGACACGAGAAAAGAAAAAAGAAATAACATAGGATTTGTATCTCTGGTAGAGCAACTTGTATGAGTTGTATGACTACCTTAAAGCATGCTAAGGGATGAGTGATTCTTTGTGTCGGCAGATGATATGGGCATGTAATATGTGATGTTTTTTGTGTGCTTTCTTCATGGTTGTGAGAACATTGTGTGTGTGCGTACGAGAAAAGCGTGTCTGCTTCCTGATAAAGCTAATATTGTCTTCTTTAAGGTGGTGTCTCTTTAGAGAAAAAATACGACGTTGTACATAAGGCAATGTTTCTAAAAGGAAAAGTATAGGGGCACTTTCAGAGAAGGTTACAGACATTACAGACACTTAATACATGGATGTTGT